GAATTCTTGATCTCCCTTCAAGTTCCATAGTGGCAGTCCTTAGCCCTGCTGACTATACCCCAGGTCTCCTGGCTGGACATAGGGCATCGCCTCCCTGCCAGCCAGTGACTGCCTAGACCATGTGTTAGGTCAAAGTCCACACCTGGCAGGGCACTTGTCCAGCACTGTCCATCTGCTTGGGATTGAACCTAGCTTCTGTACCTTTTTTTTTTTTTTTAAACTGATTTTGGCCCTAGGCATGTTAACATCGCTTAACCTCATGCTCTCAAGGTGAGAATAGGAGCCCAGTGACTTGTATGTGATTTAAAGCAGTCATTTCTTTAGTGTTGTTTGTCCACCCTAGAGTAACTGGTGAGTCCTCTTTACAGGATAGGAAAGCATCGTGCTTTTCTGACCTTGGGAGCCTGGGGGAAGATATGTTCTAACTTTGAGAATCTCAGTGCACACTTGTTGAGTCCATTGGTCCGCATGTTCGTGAAGAACTAGTGCCAGTTTGAAGGTCATCGTGGAATTATCTTAGGAAAACTGGTTTACACTATCCACTGGGTCCAAAGTCTAGGAGTGTTCAGTCATGTGTCCTCGGACATATCTTGGTTTTTGTTGGTAGTGGACCATCGCCAGTGCGTTTGTATTAGACAAGCTGAGATTTTCACATTGAGATAAATTGTGTGGTTTTTTTTTTTTTTTTTTTTTTTTTTTACGTATAGGAACCTAGCGTGTGGCATTTTTGCCTGAATCCGAAGGAGTTCTCCATTTAGCTTTTTGGGTCAGTTTCACCGTGTGTGTTACGGAGTAGGACTTCTCTGTGCCCAGTGTCCCCCGGCCTCCCGCCCTGAGGTGCTGACTCCCTGCTGCATCGGCTCTAACATTGCGAGCATTTCCATACTGCTGGGTGGCAGCGCTCGGAGCTCGCGTAGCAAGGGGGACTCAGACTTCCTCAGCCAGATTAGATGTCAATAAAACATTTGTTCCTTCCTTTGAGTGGTATCATTGGTTTGTAATTTATCCTTGGAATTGAAAATGTTAACATGTGTGACTGAGTTTGTTTTAATTAAGTGTATAATTAGGCTAATGAACCTTGTAAAAATGTAGTGGTGCAATCCTTAATATAATCTACGGAGTTACATTTCTAATTACGCATCCAAAATCATGTGTAGAGGGGCAGCATTTCAATGACTTTGTGGAGATGTATGTTGTTTTACTGTCTGCGCCCCCACCCCCCCATTTGTTTTAAACAAAAGAAACATTGACCATGAACTATGAGTCTTCAGAGTCTTACCTGGTCATTGCTGTTTGGTGGGGAGACTATTGGAGGCTTACTCAGAAGTGACTTGTGCAGGCATGCACAGGATTTTTTTTGTTTTAACTCCCCTCATTCCCAATTTCAAAACAGGTGTGTCACACGTAGGGAGATGTTTGGGGATATGTTTCCATACAAAGCAGGCAAAACTCATTTGCTAGAAAAGCAGGTGAGCTGAGTCGGGTTTATGTTAGATGGCATGATGGATATAGGCGGGCCTTCCACTTCATTTGTCCCCAGGCCCTGCCGTCATTGACTCCATCTGCACCACCTGTTCACAAAAGCAAAGTCTTTGCTGCCTTCCTGGGTTTGTGGACGTAGCCTCTGCGCTGTGTTTGGTTCCTGGAACGTTTTCCCCAGCCCAGCTTACCTCCTGCCCTACTCCCTTCTTCTTCCTTTTTGTTTTGCTTGTTTGTTTAATTTTGCAGTGTTCGTTTTTTCTGCTGAGGGGGTAAGGTTGCCCCAGCAGAGGACACCGGAGCTCACCGACATGACAAATGTCTGTTCTCTGCACCTGCACGTGTGGTGCCACCATAACCCCCAGACCCAGAGACGGTGTCGCTGGGGTCACTTGGTTATAGCAACCCTCCTTTTGCTACCCTAGAATAAATCCTAGTTGCTGGTCCAGCCTGTGAGATGTCCCCAACATTGCTTTTAATTATGCTGCAGGAGACGGCCTTGCCTCAGGAGGCGGAAGCATCTGCCATTCCTACTTGCCCACCATCTCCCTCCTGAGGCACTTTTCCTTACAGCCTGGCTGTTATCAACTACATTTTCCAGGGAATATATGTACATTTTTTGATAGCTCATTCCCATTCCTTTTGTAATCATTTTCACCTACTGGTGCAAATGAGATAATTTTGCAGATTGTGCCACTTTGCTTTTAAATGAATCCATTCTTTTTAAAGAGAATGATTTCTAATAGGGTAGTCAAGTACTTGGAAATCAGCAGGCTACTAACTTCACCTTAATTCAGCCTGTTCTGTTGATTTCCCTGATCACTCGTTGCATCCGTCAAGGTGACGCCCCCTCTCTCACCCCTCTTGGATCACCTCATGTCTGACCCTGAGATGGAGGAATCTGAGATTTTTTTGGCGACACTTTGAGCAGCATTAGGTTTGTATGCCTTGGTTGGTAGCTTCCTTTTGTTCCCTGAAAGTGAGGCAGAGTATTTAAATAGGCTGTAGGATTTTTTTACTCTGATTCCATTTGTCCACAAAGGAGGACTGAGGCCGAAACTGAGACATTTGATCAATGAGACGCAGCGTACTGTTTTGCTTTGGGTGATTATTCTAAAATGATTACCAGGATTTAAAAAAAAATAAATAGGTTTAATGAAGAAAAGAGATTATCTGGATGAATATAAATCCATTGACCCCGTCATCTGATAAAAGCATGGATGTCATTTATGGAAGGGAAGTATAGATTTCTAAATTACACTGCTTTAAACTGTAATAAATAATGCAAGGATCTATTGGAAACGCGTTTATAAAGTTAAACCAATTAGTAGTGCTAGTTAGCTGCTAAGTCAGGCCCATTAAATATGGTACATCATTAAGTTCAGATCAAACCGCATGTTAATGTAGCTGCAATATATGAATGTAAGTAATCAAAAATTATCTAAATAAGGCTTTTGCCAGTCTCTAGTATTCTGACACTCTTGGAGTGGTAGATGCTGAATGTCTGACAAAATCCTAATGGGTAATGTAAAGATGTGTGTCCTATTTTTGTTCTTCTAAGTTGGAAGACTGGCATCGTACCTGTTTATTGTGATGCGCTAGGATGAAGTTAGTGGCCTTATAAATATTCAGCAAGGAAGCAGGTTGTTGCTGTCTGGGATTTCAGTTCAGCAGGGTCAGCGATGCCCTGCTGGAGAAGACGGCTCTGAATCTCCATTCTGTTTTTGCAGAAGACTGTTTGCCTCAGCTAAACTCCATCACCCATAAATTCAGTTGTCATTTATCAAAACCTCACTCCCGTCTAAGTGCTTGAGCACGAGTTGCTGAATCCCGTGTTCTCCATCTGCTTACAGTGCGGTAGCAGAGATAAGGAGTGGATATAGCAGCAGAGTGAGATAAGTGGCTGGCAGTAGACACACCAATTCCTATAAAACTTTAAAGGAAGAAGCTGCTCGTGTGGGTCTGTTTTTACTCGCAAGTGCGTGCACAATCCTGCAGGTTATGAATCTGCCCTGGACAGCATACATGGGTGACTGGGTGTGTCATTTTCGTTTTTGCAGGATTCCGAATTCCAGGACCTGGACTGTTGTGTTTTATGTTTGTTTGTTTTCAACACTTTGGCATGGGGAGGGTTTGCGATGTATCAAAAATAACTTCACATAAAAGTTGACATGATCGTAATATAAAATATATGGCATCAGGGAAAGTAGGCAGGATTCCTTTTGCTCACCCTGTGATCCCAAAAACTACTGGTCCCCCTTCCCTCCTCCCCCGCCAGGATATACAGAATGTTTTATTGGGGAGTGGAAGGGTTCGTAAGAGTTCAGTCCAACCCTGATTTTCCCTTGGAGAACGTTGCACCTTTTGAAGGAGTTCTGAGTTTTTGGGCACTGTTGAAATCAGAGGCTAAGGCCGAGCAAAGCTTTGAGCAGTGAGATTAGCTTTCTAGTTACTTGAGCACAAAGACAAGTTACTTAGGCCCGGCGCAGTGGCGCAGTGGTTAAGGTCCTCACCTTGCACGCCTGGGATCCCATATGGGCACCGGTTCTAGTCCCGGCAGCCCCGCTTCCCTTCCAGCTCCCTGCCTGTGGCCTGGGAAAGCAGTCCAGGACGGCCCAAAGCTTTGGGACCCTGCACCCGCATGGGAGACTTGGAAGAGGCTCCTGGCTTCGGATCGGCATAGCATCGGCCGTTGCGGCTCACTTGGGGAGTGAATCATCGGACGGAAGATCTTCCTCTCTAGCTCTCCTCTCTGTATATCCACCTTTCCAATAAAAATAAAAAATAAATCTTTTTAAAAAAAAAAGATAATTTACTGAAGACAGAGCCTGTCACAGCTCTTCACAGACACATATGCTCCCCATGGAGACACCTAAGCCATTTCTGGATGCTGTAGCATAATTTTTTTTTAAAGATTTATTTTATTTTTGTCACAAAGTCAGATACACAGAAAAGAGGAGAGACAGAGAGGAAGATCTTCGTCCATTGATTTACTTCACCCCCCAAGGGCCACAACAGCCAGAGCTGAACTGATCTGAAGCCAGGAGACTCTTTTGGGTTTCCCACGCGGGTACAGGCTCCCAAGCCTTTGGGCTATCCTCGACTGCTTTTCCAGGCCACAAACAGGGAGCTGGATGGGAAGCAGAATTGCCGGAATTAGAACCGGCACCCATATGGGTTCCTGGTGCATGCAAGATGAAGACTTTAGCTGCTAGGCTACCTTGCTGGGCCCAGGACTTTGAAGCATTTTTAAGTGTCAAGGTTGCTTTGTTTAGCTAATACTGGTGATGCAGCAAATGTTTTCCCGTACTTACCCAAAGGCTCCGTAGCTGCATCATGGTCTTTTAGATCATTGTGATTTGTGCCTCGCTGTTAGGGTGACATCTGGGAGTCGTCCTGTTCCCCATGCCTTTGGAGAAGGAGCTTTTTTGTAAGTGGGGTACTAGCGTTCAGGCCGTCAGAGGGCGTCTGTGCGGCTGGGGGCACTTCCTGTGTAATCGCTTGCTTTCTTCGTGTTCCAGAACGCTGGGCCTCCTGGTGAAGCGTCTGGAGAAAGGAGGGAAGGCTGAGCACGAAGGCCTCTTCCAGGAGAACGACTGCATCGTCAGGATCAATGACGGCGACCTTCGCAACAGAAGATTTGAGCAGTGAGTGTGGACATGTGGAGTGCCTTGGCAGACGTGCCTCTGGCCTCCGTCGGGAACAGGACAGGAACGCTTTTGGCCATGAGCTGGCCTTCTGACGCAAACATAGGGTGCTTACTACCATAGATGCCAAACTACCCTGAGACCTGCACCTGCTTTCCTGACTCGCAGGAACCCAGTCACTGTCACCCGTATCCGCAGTCCATGGGGGGTGCTGGGAAGAAGCACATGGTCATTGCAAAGGGCACAACAAATCTAGACATTCCCTGAAACAACCTCTCTGGATGAAATTGGCCAGCAAGGTTCTGACCTGTTGGAAAAATGATTTTGTTTTTAAGAGTTATTTATTTTCTTTGTGAAGTTAGACCCACAGTGAGAAGGAGAGACAGACAGACATCCTCCCAATGCCAGTTCACTCCCTAAATGGCCGCAGTGGCCAGAACTGAGCCAATCCGAAGCCAGCACCCAGGAGCTTCTTCCAAGTTCCCCACATGAGTGCAGGGTCCCAAAGCTTTGGGCTGTTCTCTACTGCTTTCCCAGGCCACAAGAGGGACCTGGATGGGAAACAGAGCAGCCAGGGCATGAACTGGCACCTATATAGAATCCCAGTGCATGGAAAGCAAGGATTTAACCACTAAGCTCCTGTGTTGGGCCCATTTATTTGTTTGTTTATTTTAAGTATAGGTGACAAAATTCCATTCACTGGCTCATGCCAGATGTCCACAATAGCCAGGCAGAAGCACTTCAGTTGCCAGGAACTTTTTCTGGGTCTCCCATGTGGCCAGTAGGAATCCAAGCACTTGGACCAGTTTTTTCTGCTTTTCCAGGTGTGTTGGTGGGAAGCTGGATTTGAAGTCAAGCAGATGGCACTGTAATTGGTACCCATATGAGATGCTGGCATTGCAAATGGTGACATATCTATCACCTGCTCCTCCCACAAATGACATCTTGAGTTTGGTGATTGGCAAGGACCTTGTAGCACCAGCATTCCCATCCTCTCAATTTAGCAAATTCCTTTTGTAACTGACAGGGCAGGAGATGTTGTGCTAAGGGAGAGAGGAGACTGGGTCATACCTTTCCATCACAGGGGTTTGGTCTCGGCACTGTGGTATATTTCAGAATGCCAGGTCATTTATCAAATGCTTTTTAAAATAATAAGGCTCTAATTCCAACTTTGATTTTGGCAGGAAAAAGTCCTTTGGACCAGTTTTGTGTTATGTTCAGGTTGACTTTATTCTGATTCAAGTCATTCCATCAATGAGCTAACAGGTGGTGTATGGAGCAAGGCAGGAATGAGCTGGGTGGATGGTGCCGGCATTGGGAAGTAGCACTAGCCTCACTGCCATTAGCATTTCCATTAGTAGGTTCTCCCTCCATCTGGCTACAATGTTGGCGCTAGGCTGGTCCGAATCCAGAAGTGTACTTTAGGTTGTTCATGTAGATGCAGGGGTCCACCAACTTAGGCCATCTTCTGCTGCTTTCCCAGAGACATTAGTAGGGAGCTGGCTCTGAGGGTGAGTAGCCCAGAGGTGAACAGGTGTTCATATGGGATGCTGGCATCACAGTCAGTGGCTAAACATGCTGTACCCCAATGCCCGCCCACACACGATTCCATTGTGAGGAAATGTCTCGTAACTTCTCCAAGCTGTATTGGCTAATGTGACGGAGTGAAAGCTACCTTTATGTGTGTGGGTTTATAATACTTCTGTCGTACTTAAAGCTTTAGCTTCATGAATTTCCTTTGAGGGCACCGCACTTCGTCTGTGGTGGTCACTCATTTTTCTATTGTTGTTTTAGAGGAAATTTGTGGAGGGGCTGGCGTTGTGGGATATCAGGTCAAGATGCTGTCTGTAGTGTGGGTGTTCATGTGAACATGGGTTCAAATCTCACCTGCTCCATTTCCCCTCCATCTCCCTGCTAATGCACCTGCAAAAGCAACAGAGGATGTTGCAAATGCTTGGGTCACTGCACCTAGGTGGTAGATGGGATAAATCTGATGTGGACCTGGTCCAGCCCTGGATTGTGAGACCATTTTGGGGAATGAACAAGCAGATGGAAGACCGCTCTCTTCAATTCTGACTTTCAATACAATCTTTAGGGAAAAAACAAAGTTTCTTGTGTGTGGACGATCAACCCTGTTCCTCCTGTTGAGCGCTCCCAGACATGGCTGGCGCATGGGTTCTCCCTCTCATGATTCAGTTGTCAGCCCTTGCTTTCTTAATGGCTTGCATGTGGGCTGAAACTTCTGTGTCTTCATGTGGGCCTGTCCGTTCTTTCCACAGAGCACAGCACGTGTTCCGCCAAGCCATGCGCACGCCCCTCATCTGGTTCCATGTGGTGCCCGCCGCCATGAAGGAGCAGTACGAGCTGCTCTCCCAGAACGAGAGTCGCCAGGCCTGCCCCAGCCGCTTCAGCCCGGACAGCCCCCCATGTGGGGACAGCAGGGTTGCAAGTGGCCTGGGGCTCCCTGGACCTCCCCGGGTCCCTAGAATTCCCCAAGCACAGGATCACCCGGATGCTCACACGCGACTACCTCACATGGCGCCACAGCAGCCTGCAGCCCGGCCACCCGGCGCCCCTACACCAGCCCTGCATGGGGTTGGCACCTTCAGCTCCACCATGGGCAGCACCTACAGCACCAAGAAGATAGGCAAGAGGCTCAACATCCAGCTCAAGAAAGGTGTGGCCATCTTGTCCCCTGTCAACTTCCTTCCTGGGACTTGTCCAGTTCTATTTGCTGTTTGGGAATGAGAATCTTACTGAATCGGTATTAATTTCAGGTAGTGGAGAATGGGCCAACGGGTTGTCCTGTGTGCCACAGAAATGAGGACAGAGCCTCCAGGCAGAACTAGGGCCTCAGGGCCAAGTGCGTGCCACAAGTTGTTCTGTCTTGTTTTATAAGCAAGAGAGGTGGGTATGAGCAGCCGCCAGTGGTCCCAGTGTGACCAGTTCATTGTCACATCCACCTTTCAAGAGAGAGCTTGCTCTTGAGGCTCCAACCCATCCCTCCTTCCCTCTTTTCCCTCCATTCCCAGGGAACATTCTGGGACAAATCTTAACGCAAGTGGACTATAGTTCACCTGACTGCCACAAGGAGATGGCTTCTCATTCCCTTTTGAGGCTGGGGCAGGAAGCTTCCCTTCAGTATAGTTTTTCACTATGATTATTGTATTGAATAAAAAATGGGAACTTCAGTGATCCAATTTTGGCTACCATTCAAAATCACATCTCCTACCATTTATAGGAGATGTGATTGCCTTTATTCAAAGTCATTTCAGATGTTGTGCTGAATCAAATAAAAATAAAAATAAAAATGCTAGTTTGCCCAAATATTGTCCTTACCTGGCGGATTTAAATGATACCAAGCTCCATAGTTATTTTGGATTTGAATTTGCTAGCTCTGAGAAGATGTGGCCAACTCGTGTAAAGATATTTATGTGAAAGCGAATCGTTAGTTGCAAATAAAGGTGAAGAGAAATTACTCTGATGCTCCAAAAAAAGAAGGCTTGCTTTATTTTCAGCCAGAGTCAGAGCTACATCCTCCAATCCTCCATCCACCTCTTCATTCCCCTAAATGCCCATGACTGCTGCCATCTGGGACAGGCCAACACCGGGAGCCCAGTGCCCAGTGTCCCTCAGGGAGCCACCAGCACCCTGGGTAGGGTGCACCTCTGCAGGAAGCTGCATTCTGAAGCAGACCCAAGGTGTCTGTGTCGTGGCTCTATGGGCTAATCTTCCACCTGCAAGTGCTGGCATCACATACGGGCACCAGTTTGTGTCCTGGCTGCTCCACTTGCCATCCAGCTGGCTGCAATGGCCTAGGAAGGCAGTGGAGGATGGCTTCAAATCCTTGCCACTTTGTACCCATGTGGGAGATCTGGAGTAGGCTCCTGGCTTTAGATCGTCTCAGCTCCAGCCTATGCGGCCATGGGGCGAGCGAAACAGTGATTGGAAGTTCCTTCTTTCTGTCTCGCCTTCTCTCTGCAAACCTGTCTTAGCAATAAAAATAAATAAAATTAAAAAAAAAAAGTGGGCCCAGACTCAAACCCAGTCCTTCTGTGATGCAGAATGAGGGTGTCCCCAAGTGGAGTCTTAGCCACTGCGGTCAACCCCCACCCCTGCTCATTGTGACTAGCATCGAATACAGATATTTCATAATAACTGCGTGGCAGTTGAATGGATACAAGTGGATTTTTTCAGCTTTTTTGAAAATCAGTAATTTCCACTGCAGGATGGTAAGTAAACTAATGTTCTTTCATACCATTTCTTCCAAAACTGAGGCCAACTGTCACTGTAGGCAAGAGGAGCCTGCTGGAAGCAGTTCTTTGGCACAGAGTGAGAGCTGTGTCACAGGACGTGCGGGACAGACCACTGCAATGTGCTTGCTTCCATAATGATGATTTCTTAATATTTATTGCCGTTCTCAAATACCCTGCTCTTTTGTAGAAATTAGCTTTTTAATAAAGCTGGAGGAGAAGGTCAGTAATCTGTTTCAGTCAGGGCAAAATGTTTTGTTGGCTTTGCTAAATGAAAATTGATATCTATTTATCTTTCTTTTAAAGGTCGTTGGCTGAACTTTTAGCTTACAGATTTAGGGGTTATTGCTAATATTTTAATAGTATTGTGAGGTTCACCTCGCAGTCAGTCTTTGTAGTTCATACAGATGATTATTGCCAAAGGAGGATCATTTAGAATTCTTCCTTCATAAATGTTATTGCAAGTCACCCGAGTTCCATGAAGGCACAGAGACCCATGGGAAGGTCCCGGCGGGATAATTAGGAAAATTTCATATAGACAGGACGCCATTCAAGCCTGCCACACGGAAGCCTTCAGAAATTACCAGTCCGGGTCCATGACCGTGACTGCAGCCTGGAGGAAAAACGAGTGTTTTGTTGAAACAGGAGAATAATTTACGGCAGAGCTGCTACAGGTGCAGTGATTGTGGATTCTGTCTTCCCCCTTGCTTCCTCTTGCAGCTCCGTTCCCCTGAGTCCTGTGTGTGGACCCCATTCTCTCTGTGCTGTTTCCCTGTACCCCGAGAGCTGCGTTAAAGGGCCTGCAGTTCCTTCTCCTGTCCAGATCTCCCTGTTCTTCTCATAATAAGCTCGTATTTGGTCTGTTATTTAGCTGAAATGGAACCTAGTATCTTAGGAAGGAAAGTCTTTTTTTTTTTTTTTTTTTTTAAGCCTGAGTAGAAGATTACTATTCATTACCAGGAGTGCTAGAATAATTCTGTGATTCATTAGAAATTTGTCATTATCGTCTCATTTTTTTCCCCTCTGTGCATCTTGGCTCCTGGCGTGTCGGTGCTGGTGACATTTAACCCCCTTTGCCTGCCCTGAATTGAGCTTGCAAGATTGCTTATCAAGGAAGCTTCCACAAAGAACTGAGAACTTAAATTATACAAGTCAGTCGAGTCATTGGAAAGGGCCTCATTAATTTTAGTACCTTGAAATACAATACCATGATTCTCCAATGAGGTGGGTGCAAGTGGAGAATGAGCACAGCCTTTTTTTTTTTTTTTTTTTTTTTTCCATTTTAGAGAGTGATGTGTGGATGGATCCAGGTTAATTAGACGGGACCAGAGCCAAGAGTGTGTGGGTTTCGAGTTAGTGAGGTAGAGTGCAGGAAGTTCTGTTGCCTGTGCCTGTAAGTTCCTTTCTTCCCATGCCTTTTCTGTCTCCATGCGTATGCTTCACCTTCTCTGTCAACATCATTCTCAATTCAGGCTTAAGAAGAGGTTTATTTTGGGCCCGGCGCGATAGCGTAGTGGTTAAGGTCCTCGCCTTGCACACCCAGGTTCCCAGATGGGAGCCGGTTCTAATCCCGGCAGACCCGCTTCCCATCCAGCTCCCTGCTGGTGGCAAGGCCAAAACCTTGGGACCCTGCACCCTTGTGGGAGACCCAGAAGAGCTCCTGTCTCCTGGCTTCGGATTGGCTCAGCTCCAACCTTTGCAGCTGCTTGAGGAGTGAATCATCCGGTGGAAGATCTTCCTCTCTGTCTCCTCCTCTCTGTGTATCTGACTTTCCAATAAAAATAAATCTTTAAAAAAAAAAAGGGTTTGTTTTTCTCAGGTAGAGAGGAAATTCAATTCTTTTAAATTCTTTAAGTGTGTGTGTGTAGGTGCAATGGAAGTCTTCCACCTGCTGATTCATTCCAAAATGTTCAAAACAGCCAGGACTGGGCCAGGGCAAAGCCAAGTGCTACTTTCAGGTCTCCCTCCTGGGTGGCAGGGGCCTAAACATTTGGGCGTTCTTTGTCCATTCTTCCAGGTGCATTGGGGCACTGGATTGGAAATGTTACAGCCAGGACACGAACCAGTGCACCTGTATGGTGTTAGTCCGGCAGGTGGTGCCATCTGGTCCCCTTCCTGCAGGTTTTAGCAGAGTTTATTTTTCTCCACGTAGAGAGGTGAAGTTCATTTTGTGCTTACAAAGTCAGATCAACTGGCAACACGTTTCCCAGGCGTATTTCTGCATTCCTAGTCGCCGTCTTTGAGTAGGACGTCATTCCTTCTTGGGCTAATGACTTCTGATGGCTGCAGCTGCCCGCGGCCTCCGTGATTGAGCTCATTTCAGAGACTGCGGCTGGCTCTTGAAGCAATGGAGGCAGCGATGGCTGTTGGGAAGGTTCCACCGAGTCCTCAGCAGAGGGCAGTGATGGATGCCCTGTGTGACACCTGTGGTCAGCTCATCTCCTTCTCTCTTCTCTTCCCTGCTTTAGGTTCAGAGGGACTGGGGTTCAGCATCACTTCCCGCGACGTGACCATAGGCGGCTCCGCTCCCATCTACGTGAAGAACATCCTCCCCAGGGGCGCGGCCATCCAGGACGGCCGGCTTAAGGCCGGAGACCGGCTGATAGAGGTGAGCAGTCCTTCGCCTGCCTCCCCCTTGCTGTTTTTATTAAATGAGGTGTTTATATACCTGCAGGGCAGTTTACGGGATACAAAGATGCACACAGAGGAAGAGAAAGAGAGATTAATCTTCTAGCTGCTTGGTTTATTTCTCAAATGATCAGGGCTGGGCCAGGTTGAAGCCAGGAGCCTGGACTTTATCTGTGTCTCCCACAGGGGTGTCGGGGCCCAAGCACTTGGGCTCACGTCTGTTACTTTCCCAGAAACATTGACAAGGAGCTGGGTTGTGAATGGAGCAAGCAGGTCCCCAGCCAGTGCCTGAGTGGGATGCCGTGTTGTAGGTGTGGGTTTTACATACCTGTCCACTTCCTTGCTCTCCATGAGTTGCATTGTCAAGTCCATCCTGGGAGCTTCTTCATACACTAGGATGTTCCATCGTACTTCTCAGCAGAAGCATGCGTCCCAACACAACGTGTGTCTGTTTTACATTCTGTGTTTTGCCTGTTGAGTTTACGCCTGAGGTTCCCCAGCCTGAGGTTATGAGTTCAGGTTACATGGCTGCTTGCATGCCAGCGCTGTGGCTGCATAGTTCTCTTTCTCCACGTTGTGTGTTCACGTCTGGCACTAGCGAGACGCCACCTCCTATGTAATCGGAGCAGACACCAGCAAGCACTGCATCTCCATGACAGGAGAAAGGGAATTTTTATATGGCAGCACAGAGTGAATCGAGACATGCAAGCGTGGTGTCAGAAGGAACAAAGAAGGAACCATTTCTGGAAGTTTCCTTTCTGTACCTCAAGCATTTTGGTTCTTTGCTGTCCCAGCCCATCTCCAAGTGTAAATGTGATTTTGGAAATAATTTCTTTTCATGTGGAGACTTGTACACATGAGAGAAGTAGAAGAAAGAGGATATGCATAGTTTATTAGCCATCCGTAGTCTGCCATCCTATGAGCAAGTGCTGTGTTCCCTAGCCATTAAATAGCATTCAGTTGCCAGTGGCAAAGTATACCTTTCTATCTTATTAGTGTTTTTTTTCTTATACCTTAAAATTGAATTATTTGTGTGTAGACACATTCATACACACATATAATTTGAAGGATAGAGGCAGTGTTAGAGATCTCCCAACTGGTTCACTCCTAGAGGTCCAGCACAGCTGGGGCAGGGTTAGGCTGAGCCAGCAGCCTGGATCTCAGTTCAGGTTTCTCCCCGTGGGTGATGGGGACCCGAGTACTTGAACTATCACCTGCTGCCTCCCAGGATACACATTATCAGGAAGCTGGGTTTAGGGAGCCACCGGGACTCCTTCAAAGGGCTTGGATCCCCACTCATGCCTTCCTCTCTGCAGCCAGTTGCCTACCCCTTGGGGTGTGGAACTCCAGTGTAGTGGTCCTCTGTGCTGCCCAGCTCTGTGTGTTTAAGATTTCCAGTGAATTGGGCCTGGCACAGGAGCGTAGGGGCTAACATCCTCGCCTTGCACACACCAGGATCCCATATGGGCGCCAGTTCATGTCCCGGCGGCTGATTCCCACCCAGCTCCCTGCTTGTGGCCTGGGAAAACAGTCGAGGACGGCCCAAAGCCTTGGGACCCTGCATCCTCATGGGAGACCCAGAAGTAAGTAGTTCCTGGCTCCTGGCTTCGGATCAGCGCAGCTCTGATTGTTGTGGTCTTTTGGGGAGTGAATCAGCAGAAGGAATATCCTCCTTTCTGTCTGTCTTCCTCTCTGTATATCTGACTTTCTAATGGAAAAAAATAAATCTTTTAAAAAAAAAAAGAGTTCCCATGAATCACACTCCCTGTGTCTGCTGGCACAGGGTAAATCACATGACAGCCTTGCGTGCACAGCGTCCGGGCCTGTTCCCTGTGGGCCATGGATGGAGCCGTCTTACTTTGCACTCTGGAATCCCTGTGCACATGCAGCCCCCCCAGCGTGTCACACCCCTCCTCCCATGTTGGAGTCTTCTGTTTTCCCTCATCACATACCTACCTACCTCAAGCCAACCCTCTGCAAACGGCCTGCTCGCGAGCTTCAGGGACGGCCTGCACACCTGTGTCCTCTCGGAGCTGTCAGATCTGCCCTAAGCCTGAGATTTTGTTTCTGCTCTTTGAACCCTGTCTTCCTGGATCTGTACTCCGTCAGCCGCTCTGCAAACAGCGCGTCTGGGGGTCTGGGCTGTGGAAGGGGACAAAGGTAAACGGATCCACAGACTCACTGGATTGTCATTTTTCATCTGTGTAGGATTTTTTTTCCCCCTCCGCCTTCTTTGAACCCACCATCGCATCAGAATAGAATGCTGGGTTCCATAGGGTTGTTTTGCAAGAAAGTGCTATTTTAAATTTTGAATAAATGGGAAATTTTGATGTAGTTTTTCGAAGAGATTGAGTTATCAGAGCAACACAGAGTGGGAGATCTAGAGAAAGTGAGAGAGCTCTTGGCATCTGGCGTTTCGCTCCTCCACTTGTTACCTTAGCTGGAACTGTTGCAGCCGAAGCTTGGAGCCAGGAACTCCTGCCCTGTGTTCCGTGTATTTGACTGGGGCCTGTGTACTTGCCTCATCTCTGCTGTTTTTCCCTGGAGCATTAACAGAGAGAGGCAGGCAGCCGGGACTGAGACCCGGTCGGCACTCCATAATGCCATGTGAATGCGGCAAGTGCTGATTTAACCCACTTAAAACACCCTCCCCCGTGCACATGTGATTTAAAGGTCATAAAGGGTAAGTATGCTTTCATTTCCGGTCGCTGTATCATGTTTTGAAGTTCTCCTTCTGAAGAAATCATGAAAGTCCTGAGGTTCCCTACGTTTCTGCTGTGCAAGTTCCTGTCTCGTTGCAATTCCCTTATGACATTGTTTTTTTTTTTTTTTTAAATAGGTGAAATACTTCTGTTTTAGTGTTTACCTGTTAGGGGAAAAAGTGTCTTCTTCACTATGTTCGGCAGGTTTTCTGGAATGTTGAAACATTTCTACCCAAATATTTCTGGTGCCTTTTGGCAACACTGAGTATTTCCACATCAGACAACAGGAGATACACAAAGGCCGCTGGAGTGTCTCAGTCTGAAGTCAGTGAAGTTTCGTGTTAACTTGACGTCTCGGGGAAGTCTGCAAGTCTGCCTGGTCTTTCTTACTCCTCAAGGATTGTAGGCTTTTGGCAGATGGATAAACAGTGAAAGACGGAACCGTCTCATCTGCTTCTCCCCGCCCCCCGTCTCTCTCTCGCTCTCTCTCTTTCTTTCTCTCTCTCTGTGGCAACTGGATACCCAGTCCCAGTTGCTTTGCCAGCGGTGCAGACTTAGCCATGAGCCACAGTGTCTGGCAGAGTTAAGTGGGAACCACGCCATGCCTGTATTTCAAGGACCTATCTCTCCGACACAGGTGTGCCTTCTCTGCCCGCGGCAGCCACCGCTAAGCTCTCACGGTCTCTGGTTTCAGGTGAATGGAGTGGACATAGCCGGCAAGTCCCAGGAAGAGGTGGTGTCCCTGCTGAGAAGCACCAAGATGGAAGGCACCGTGAGCCTGCTGGTCTTCCGCCAGGAGGACGCCTTCCACCCGAGGGAGCTGGTGTGTACACCTGGGGCCGGTGAATGCTTTCTGGCGCACTGGGGCCGGACCTCCCCAACCCCGGCCCGGTCCACATTCTTTGCCCCCATGGCGAGATACTTGGGGGGGGTGGGTGGCTGGGAGGATCCCTTTTCCAAGAGCAGTGTCCTTCCTGGGTTGAAGAGGGGTGTCCTCTGTCATGAGAGTCAGGTGTTTAGACGTCAGACTGGGGGGCGTCTTGTAGGACATCAGATGTTTATTGCCGCACGCTCAGATGGGCTGGTTGACGACGGAGACGTCAGTTATCTCAGAGCTGTCACTCCGAAGGCTGCCGTTGGAAGCGTGCCATCTTCCTGCCTGCATATGACACATTCTCTGTCTGCAGGCATTGCAGAGTCCCTGAGGCTGAGCCGGAAAAAGAGGCCTGCTGGCCCTTGTTGAAGGAAAAGGATCCTTGCCGAAATGACTGTAGTGGCACAGAAAAAGTGTCCCCTTCCCATGCCCCAGCTGTAGAGAGGACCCTGTTTGAAATGAAATGAAAAGGCATCGTTTGCAACCTGTCTGCTTCATTTGACTACGTATACACGATCAGACCAGGGCCTTTGTGTAGTGTTGGCATGAATGTCTTTGTCTGTGAAGTTTATCCAATTTAGAATCTTTCCTCTAGAAAACTACTAGATTTCATTTTAGGGAAAATGATTAATTAGATGACTCTGCTTGGCCTGGGGATGTGGTGAAGAAATGGTTTTATTTTAAGTGTAAGTGGTAATGCCAAATATTTACGGACAAATTCTAGTTGAATCACTTTGGAATATTGGCTTGTCTCAGCTGCCTTTTAGTTTTCTCTGAATGGTAATTCATCCAGGTCAAACAAGAGTGGCTGGGTTTTGAGGAGTATGGTTCTCATTCTCTTAGGTCATAACTTGGATGTCTCACAGTTTTTCCTTTTCCTGTAAATAAAAACTGCTTTTCTTCTATGATTATAACTATTTATAGAAGCATTGCTCATAAGGTTGGGAAATTTGGGCCGTAGGTGTCCCATGCCTTGGTCACAGGAAGATGAAAAAGTCAGCGCGATTTTGTAGAAATTTCAGAGCGGGATCCAACTGAAAAGCAAAGGCCTGTTCTACGTCAATTTTGCATAAATCATGACAACTGCTTTATGTTTAAGGAAATGTTTAATGCATTATTTCTCCATTTAAACTGGGTTTTCCATCTTTTTCCCCCCACTGTTAATCCAATTTGTGCTTGAAATGCCACCTGATCCTAAATCTGGAGATGTCTCCATTAAATTGTAAATGAGCCTGATAGAGAAAGGCAGGGAGTTTCCAGCCAGTTTGGGGCAGCTTTCCTTCTTCCTTCCCATTAGTCCCTTGCCAAGGCCTGCACATTGCTCCCTCTGAGCAGCCGCCGGCAGCGTCCCTGCCAACATCGCCACTTCAGGTTTGTCAGGGTCCCTTGTCCAATTTTGATCTTCCACGCTTCTGTCTCTCCCTTCTGCTGCCTCCTCTCTTTGGTTATTTAATTTATTACTTGTAAGCTTTTCATTAAGGACCGAGCCAGTAGCCCGTCAGTCAGTCTCCTATGCAAGTTGCAATCACTTTTCAACATGTCAGAGAATCAGGACCCCAGAATTAAGGATGCGCTCCACAGTACCCGCTGACTCCAATCAGTGAAGCACTCTCCCTCTGCCCAGGGTGCCTGGTCTGAAATTCTATGTCCCCATCGCTACGACTTCATCACAGCGTGTCCTTTTTTATACATCTGTCTTATAAATGACCTGTGTCGTGAAGGCAAGTCTACCTTCCCGTGTTGTGTTTTGGAGTGGCAGGCTTGCAGGTTCAGTCTGATTGCCCTTGTCTGTTTTGCTACCTGTGCACCTGTTGAGACCTTGTGTTGTACCTTAGATCCAGATGTTTCCATTTGAAAAGAAACAAATAATTAGAGGCAGTGCCATGAAGAGAGAAGGGGAAACAGTTTGAGATTTGCTTTGCTTGAGATAAGAAATTCGTGATTCATGAGGGGAGGCAAGCAAGAGCAGGTGTATGTCTGGCTTCGGTAGTTCTGAGGACACACACAGGAGCTTGCACCCCTGGGGAAGAGGCAGCCATGTGTGAGTTCAAGTGCGCTCACCTGTGACGGGGTTTGTGGTAGGTAGGGAGCTGCAGTGTACCCTTCAGTCTATCGCGTTGTGCCCCTGTGTGTCGAAGGTGGCTTCTGGCCGTCCATATGTATTCATGTTTTTCTTTGATTCTTCTAGAACGCAGAGCCAAGCCAAATGCAGATTCCCAAAGAAACGGTAAGAGCTTTGTCTCCTGTGGCAGGCTGCAAAAGTGTGAGAAGGATCAGTGGAACTAACTACTTACTAATTCCATAGGAAGTTCCCTGTCTTTTCCTGGCACCGTAATGGCTAACACACAGGTTTGCCGAGACCCGAAGTGGTCTTGTATCCCGCTGACTCACGGTCGCTGCCTGCAGAGGGTGTTACTCTTTGTGATTCTCCTGTCCAGACAGGCCTAGGGAAGGCGGACACATTCAAGTGAGTTCCTGAGTGGGCACAGGGTTCCAGGAGCCGGGAGATGCCACAGACAGCACAGCTCCACGTGGCCCAAACAGAAAGGAAACACCACGGATCTGACACAAAGGCAGAGCTAAGAACACATGATAAAGACAGGTTTCCTTAACAGGAACGTGAGAGCAACCTGTTTGTAGTCCCAAGGTTTCAGTCTGACAGCTGTCATCATCTTGGTAGGCAGGGCGGCTGGTCCCTCTCCAGCGAAGGCAGGTGATCCGCTCAGGAAGATGGGGTCACCTCATGACTGTGCTTGTAAGCCCTTTTTTTTTTTTTTAAAAATTTTTAAGATTGATTTATTTTTATTGGAAAAGCAAATTTACAGAGAGAGGTGTTCCATGCACTGGTTCATTCCCCAAATGGTCAGAAAAGCCAGACCTGAGCCAATCTGAAGGCAGTAACCAGGAACTTCTGAGTTTCCCACACAGGTGCAGGTTCCCAAGGTTTTGGGCCATCTCCCACCTCTTCCATGGCCATTAGCTGGGAGCTGGATGGGAACTGAAACAGCTGGAGCATGAACCAGCACCCATATGGAATGCTGGTGCTAGCAGGTGGATGATCTGTGTTTGAGTCAGCACTTAAAACAATTGGTCATGTAAAAAGTTAGATTACCTTCTCTTACTATCCAGCAAAATAAATCCCAGGTTTTTGAATTTAAATCTTAATAATTGAGAACATTAAAAAAAAAAAACCTGAGATCTTTTATCTACTGGGTCCTTCCCCAGAGGGTCTTAAGAACTGGAACTGAGCCAGGATGAAGCCAGGAGCCCAGAGCTCGCTGAGTCTCCTACTTACGTGGTGTCAGGGGCAAAAGCTTCTGCAACATCTTCCACTGCCTTTACTCCAGGCCGTTAGTAGGGAGCTGGATTCAAAGTGGAACAACCAGGGCATGAACTGGTACCTTTAAGGGATGCCAACATTGAATGAAAATTCTTAAAAGATCTGAATGTTTCTCAGTTGAAAATTTGGGGTAATGAGTGCATGTTGAGCATGGCCAAAGATTCAGCACCTGCGTAAATAAACATGTGCACAAAATCTCCGACCAGCATTTGAGGACTTAGCATTTTCTGATGAAGTTGTGGAGATGTACTCATAGGCTGGTGTTTTATTGTGTTTTTCCGTTTTTAGTAGACAATGCACTGAATTACAGGAGATGCTCAGCGCTTTCCCGTAGGATTTCTGTAGGATGATTTTGTCCGATGGTCAGCTCATGGTAGTGTTCTGAGCATGGCCTGGGCTCAGCTTGGATGTTTGATACCTTAGGTGTAGTAAGTGGAGTTCCAGCATACATTATTTTCAACCTAAGATGGATTTGTTAGTGTAGACCCATCCATTGTAAGTCAGGGACCGTAGCAGCAATGATACCATATGATCATTGTCTTAGATATTAAAGAGTTCAGAAGTTATTTGCAGTGTCATCTTTGATGGATTGGAATCTTCAAATTGGGGACCCTCCTGGGTGATTGCGAGACTCCACAGTGAACCCCATATGTGAGAGTCTGAGCACGTGGGACTCCTCCTCGCTGCGGTGGGGATCGTCCGCACTGGGGGCCGCACAAGGCCCCTGGTTCACACAGTCTCCTCCTGCCAGGGCAGCTGTGACAGGGCTGAAGACTCAGCAAACAGTTTAGAAGTTGATCATTTTGTCGGCCCTACAGTTGCTGCTATAAACATCCAACCGACCCTTGGTGTAAAAGTGTTTTTTGGCCCTGCCTTACAGCATGCAGTCATTTACACACTCGCATGGTTTTCTTCTTACAGCGTTGCTTCAAAGAGTTTTCCAAAGTAGGTCAAAGCATGGTTTGATTTAAAACAGTTTGGCTGTTTATTTCACGGGGCATTTTTTTTCTTTTCTGTGTCATCTCTCAGCTGTGGCTCTTTGTGCCTTGGCTAGCTGTGCCATACAAACTGGGGTGGTTAGAGCCTTACTGTTGCAGTAGTATTTGGGAAAATTGACAGAGGTGGAGTCTGTGGCACTCTGGGCTCTGAGATGACTGTGGTCTGTTTTAGCCACCCCCCCCCTTTTTTTTTTAATTAAGTCTTTGGTACTTACCAGAGCTCAAGAGAAAACCATACACAGGCCTTCACTGTTTTTCTTTATGTGTTTTTTTTTGGGGGGGAAGGGGTGAATTTTTTACTCTTAATTCTTGGAGTGTCAATCAGCTTTTTGCTTCTTGATCAGAAGCGTAGCCAGAATAGGGAGGATGACAGAGGGGAGATGCATCAGTGATGCATTGGGTTGCAAGCGTTGTGCGGTAATGCTGCGAGCCTGCTACACTGGCTGTTGGTGATCTCTGGTCACTCATGGATGAGCCCTGTGCTCAGGTGGCCCCTGAGTGGCCAGAACATGAAAAGCGTCCTCCTGATGTCCCGTGGCTTGTAGGCCTGTGTGTGCTATCCTGGAAGGCAGGCTGGCTGGCGCTGGTTTCTGCTTTGCCATGCTTTCTCAGCCTGCTGAGTTGCGTGGCAGGTACTTGGTTGTGTAGGGGCGGTTCCCACCTGCCTTGCAGGTCCAGGTGGGCACCAGGCCCTTCCCCGGGTCTGCCTGCTCCCTGAGGCTTTGAGTGGAAGAAGCGCGGTCTGCCTTCTGAGGCTTGCAAGTGGTGTTTGCAGTGGTAGCCTGTTTTGCCCTGGTCGTTCCAGCCCTCTGCTGTTTGGCTGCTTGGTGGACAGGATTCTGTTCGCCCTGGGTTCCACTGACCTCAATGCTCATCGCATGTACAAACACACCCTCCACATTGATGCGTGCAGATAATCTTGCCTACAGCTACTGGCCATGAACTTTTCTCTTTCCTAAATACCCATCACTTCCTGTGAACTTGTTGACAGATTCAACCAAAAGTATTCGTGATGTGCTTAGAAACCCAGGGCTGCTGTGTCCAGGGAAAACTTTGAAATCGTACAGTTCATAGATGATAATTGACTATTTAGAGAGAAGCTCTTTGCCTCCTGAGCTCCAGAAATTCTTTGTGTTCTGGAAGGAGTTGGCTCTCCCATCCCAAAGCACTGGAAAATGGTGGGAACTGTCTCTATAGGTCCTGAGAGGGCAGGGAATACCTGATCTTAGTGAACCTTCAAAAGGTTACAGCCTCAAGATAGAAACGGAATGAGCCATGCCGCAAGCATGGTCATCGAGATTCCCAACACGCAGGGCCGTCTTCCACCCATCACAGGCTGCGCGTGTGGCCCTGAGTGGGGAAAGCAGTCATGTCGGGCAAAGCAAATGGGAGCCCAACACAGAGTTGTTTCTGCTTCATTCCGAAGTGCAGCAGTCCCATCCTCTAACATGTCTCTGGGCCTGCTGTGCTCGCTAACCTTACCAGCTGGAGAGCGTGCATGGATGTCTGTGAAACCCTACACACGGAGTGCTTGGCAAAGACTGATGCTCATGTAGACTGCTCATATGTGGTTTTGGTTTGGAGCATCAGGGAGTGCCATTGTCACCAATGGTTTTTGGAGCATGAGGGCTTTAAAAGTTCATTCCAGCTTGTTCTAACGTGGGTTAGAGAACTACCTCTCATGCTCTCAAAGAAATAGTAATGATTGTGTCTTGAGAATTTTGAACCATTTTTTTTTTAAGGAATCTACCTGAAGTTGTTTCCTGTTTCTATAGAAGGCAGAGGATGTTTTCATGTGTGGTGTGTCCCCAGAGAGGTAGATCTTGGTTACTATTTATTGCCTTTTGCACCATGGAGCATCTTTATGCTTCATTTTTCTATCTTACCATTGAGCTTTTACAGTGTGTAGGTTAACAAAACTTATCTGGGTTAGGTCCTCCATGTAAATTTTTTTTTTTTTTTTTACTGAGATGATTTCTCGAATTGTTAATATTTTATGACATTTGAGATGTCATTTTCTGCTCTGTACTGATTCCTATTTCTTTTCCCTTCTGGAAATTTTTCCCTCTACACTGAGACTAGATCACAGAAATAACTCCCCTCCAAGACACATCAGTGTATTTGTTCTGAGAATCAGTGCATTTCATAGGCACCTGCCCGCGGGGACTAAGATTGATCAAGTCACACTGAGCCAACGGCAGTGTCTTAGCAGTGGTCCCCGTTTCCACAAATGGCTGCCATGGCACCAAGGAACAATGAAATAGGAAAGAACCCTGGCCCGGTCTCCAGGTGAGGATTACGCGTGGCCTTAAGTACCAGCCGCTGCCATCCTCTCTCTCATGGGGACGTGGTTGCAGTCTCTCCACACTTCCCACGTCTGAGAAGAGAACGTCTCCCAGTCCGGGTTTCTCTCATGCTTCTTTGATTGGAGGATTACGTCTCCGGGTCCACTTCAGAGATTAGTAACTGTATCAAACTTATTTTCTTGGCATTTTTACTATCAAGGAAAAATTTTACAAGTCTTTTACATTCATGTGTTTGGCATTCACCGTCTGAATTAGAAAAGAGTCCCCCAAAAGCAGATGTGACATTTAAACTTTGCTAATAAGAATAATCTACCATAAAGTTTTTAGCATAAATAACATCCATAAATGTTCACCTCACATATGGGATACATTAAATATAGGATTTAACTTTTTAGAGTGTGATTGGGGGTTCATTCCGTTAGGAGGAAAAGCAGCCAAAGCGGTTCTGTGTTTTAAAGGTTTTTCCTGTTAATTGAAAACATAAATGGCGCTCGCTGATTGTCCGCCGTACCTGCGTCTCATCCCTGAGTGTCCGCGAGGCCTCTGGGTCTGCTCCCTCCTTGGCTTCTGGTGCTGTCTGCTT